CAGAAATTGTTTAGTTAAGGTCGTTTTTCTCCATACGGCGCTTCCGCATGGGCTAATTTGCAAGTATTGACTTTGTCACTTACCTTCGTGTTGTTTTGATGCTCAAACTGCTGGAAACGTGTATCATATGTTTCTACGGTTTGTTCGGATCCATTGTTCTCGTGAACAAAGAAAATGGCATCTCTGTTGAAGAAAGAATGACCAATCGATATATGAGTAGATATGTATTGTTTTTATTTTTCGTCAATCTTTGATTGACTTTATTTCTTTTAGAAAACTATTATGTTGTGTGATTAAAGTTTGTGAGAAGTGAACTAGTACGCTATTCGACAAAAATGTAACTAGAAATGCCGGTCACTAACGAATGGACTACACGTAGGGACATCTATTTTATCACGCAAAGACTAAGCAATATAAGATAACCAGAGGGAGTACCCGCCGCAAATAAGAAATATCTATGTCGAATATCTCACGTGTTGAAGGACTATAACAGGTAGAGAATCAGTATAATCCAAATTTCTAAGCTCCCAGTCCTTATATTCCCCGCCGTGCATCGCATAAAATGGCAGTTTCGACTATATCTTTTTATGCAAAAGAGTTACCGAAACTAATTTCTGCCTCTGAAATGATGAAAAGTTCCTCTTTCTCTGATATCCATTTTCCACTCCAGCTATTTATTCATCAAGCTCTTTCTGACTCTCACATCATTTCATACCTTATATCCTTCGAATCCACCCACCCTCAACATTTATCTTGATCTTTTGAGATCCTGTAACGCTATTAGTGAGTTTCGCAGATTATCTGTAGCATTCACGGAACTATCATAGGCGTAGAGAATACGTGGATTGTTGTCTTTGGGCGCTCAGACGGCCTTCGCTACCGACTCGCTGCAATTTTCGCATCCTGCAATCCTATTGATCAGCATCGCAGGTTGCTTGTAGCATGTATAGGACTCCTGAGCACAGGCAGAACACGTGGATTGTTGTCTTTGAGCGCTCAGACGGCTTTCGCTCTTGATTTCGTCCACTTCTATAATCCTGCAATCCTATTGGTCAGTTTCATAGATTGCCTGTAGCAAACGGCTGGTTCCTTTGTTCTCGGGGAAAAGTAAATGTCGACCTTCCTTTTGGTCTCAGGAAGCATTGCGGAAAGTTTCACGCCTATAGCTAATACAGGGACTGAATGCATAGCGAACAAACAAACAGACAAACTTTCTTCTTTATATATATAGATGAGTGGATAATCTGTACTTCATTCATCACGATTGGTTCAACGATGAGACCTGCGAAAATAATTTACAAGGAAAGAGAACTGTATCAGAAACGCACTATGAACAGCTTCTCAGTAGAAAAAACATAGAGCTTATTTGAATTGCTTTGTCTTTCGTTTTCAAAATCATGGATTTCTTGCTGTCAATCTTTTCTGGTAACGACTGGTTTAATTATTTTGAGAAAAGATTCACATTTATGCCTGAATGATTTTCTAAAAGTAACTTTCGACGTCAAACAAATCTTTTTTCTCATTTATTGTCCTCTAACCATGCGAGCAAATATACTGATTCATTCACTCAAACAAAAGATCGAGAAACGCTATACAGATTGTTTGTTTGCTTTTTCTTATTTGCGTCACTCATCATTAACTTTTATACGTAAGAAGTGGAGTGTTACTCAGTACAGTTTATCGAATAATCAACATGGGACTGCGTAAACTCCTGCTAGTACATATTCTCGTAATTCTCGTCTCTCGCAGCAATGCTGAATTATATTCGATAGAGATTCCGAAGAACATCACATTAACAATGAAAATTATCAAACTTGAACTTGAAAGTACGAAAAATGAACTTTTAACAACAATCGACGATCTTGAACAACGCAGCGGTATCAGCGATATTACGAATCATCTGATNTTGCAATCACTTGCTAAATTTCCTAAATTGCCCAAACTTCGAAAAGTACATTCATTTCTTTGTTGACCTCTTGTTCATTTTCGTAATCAAATATCATTTAGCTTTATCTCAGCGATAATCGTTTAAGTGCAGGCTTGGAGAATCTCGAGGGATGTCCAAATTTAACGTTGCTGATACTTGCCGGAAACAAATTCAAATCAATTGACGATCTCAAACCATTAGTAAGTGAAATTCAGTTCGTGAAACATACATGATTTGATTTTGCTCTAGGGTAAATTACCAAAATTATCTGTCCTTGATTTGATGAATTGTGAGGTGACTAACGTTGATGGATACAAAGAAACAATGTTTAACATGTTACCACAACTAAAATATTTGGATAATGCAGATAAAGATGGAGGTTAGTTTGAGGAGAAGGAACTAAAATTGTTCACGCATCAATTTGTTTAGTTGAAAAAGATAGTGATGACGAGGATGATGATGATGATGATGAAGAAGAAAATGATAATGAAGGTAAAAAGATAAGCTCTGGGAAAGAATATAATTGATTACACTTTGTAGACGATGATGACGAAGAAGACGAGTACGGAGAGGTACGAATGAGTTTTCTTTTGAACGATGATGAATATTTTCATTATTGCAGGATGACAGTAAAACTGGTTTGAAAGCTTTGTATAATGGAACACTTGAAGAAGGCGATGATGACGAAGAAGAAAGCTATGAAGGAAACAGTGAAGAAGAGGAATCCGGTAAGATTGTCTGACAGGTTTAACGATTTGTCTATGACAAAAATTGTAGACGAAGATGATGATCTTTCTGAAGGTGATGTTTCAGCTGGTCCTGTTGAAGGTAAATGCAAATCTGGTTTGTTTGTTTCTACATCATTGATATTTTCTAGAAGCACCAAAAGGTGAAAAACGCAAACGAAACGCTGATAATCAAGAAGAAAATGATGACGATCCTCAACGTAAAAATTAAACATTATTCAGTTCCAAAACACTATGTCACATGTTAATACTGTACAGAAAGATTATTTCCATTATATCAATATATGATCTCTGTGTTAATTAAATCAAAACAATCATTTAGATAGTCGTAGATAATTCTATTTTCTATTTCTTCTAGATAACTTTCCAGCATGACTTGGCAAAAATGAAATTCCATAGTTCGCACATTCTCGAGGAAATTGTCCCTGTGAATCATTATCGTGAATGATTCAATCGTTATTGACTACGAGGGACATCTAGAAGATTCTTTTCAACATGACGTGACAAAATACCAATATAAATACACATAGGATTGACTTACTTTTCGCTTACAAAAAGATTGTTAACTGAAACTGATGGTTGACTTTTTTCTTTGCAGATTTTGTGACTTTTTCGAAAGTAAAAATGCATATTACAGTAGCGAAATTTGGTGGTTCAGAAAATGTATTCACGATTGAGATTGCATCGGATCTTTCTTTGAAGGATTTGAAAGCGGTGATTGAAGCTGAATCTGATTTTGGAATAAAAGCAGATGAAATGAGTCTTTTCTATGAGGGTAATTTCGATACCTGAAAGCTCAAAGTTTGTTCTAAATCGATGAAATTTATTTATAGGAAAATTACTTCCGGATGAAAATAAAACACTTGAACAATGTAAATTCAGTGATTACGATCTTATCACATGCCAACGATCACGATGTGAGCGAAATAGTTAAGTAGCTGTTTCTTTTATATTGATAATTTTAGCTGCGGAGAGTTTGAATAATGGAGCGTCAGGTGGCGCACGTCGAAATTTGAATCGTAAGTGTTTTTCATGCAAAATAGGATGCTAGTCAAGTTTGATCTTCTAAATAGCCCGCGATCCTCGTCAACTTTTCGAAATGCTTCGTTCCAATCCCGAAATGTTACAACAGATACGTCAGAATTCTCCACAAGTCGCTGATGCTGTTCAGCGCGGTGATTTCGGTAGGAAAACTTCTTCTTAGAAAACAATTTTTCAAATCACTTATTACAGACACTTTCATTCAACATGTCGCTGCTCGATCACCTGAAATGCAACAGCAAATGGAACTCGAACGACTTGCTAGTCTCGATCCATTCGATCCCGAAGTTCAACGACGCATTCACGACATTATCAAGTAAATACGAAATCCATTATTTTGCTGAAAGATTTACTGTGGTCGTTTCAGTATGCAAAATGTGCAAGACAATATGGAACATGCTGTTGAACATGCACCAGAGGTCTTCGGTCACGTTGTTATGCTTTACATTAATTGTAAAGTCAATGGTCATCTGGTGAAAGCATTCGTTGACTCTGGTGCCCAGATGACAATCATGAGCCAAGCTTGTGCAGAACGTTGTGGAATCATGCGTCTTGTTGATCGACGTTTTAGTGGAATCGCGAAAGGTGTTGGCACACAGAAAATCATCGGTCGAGTTCATTTAGGTTTGTCACTTCCTTTCCCGTCGGTTGTTGATGACTTTCTTTCTCTTTCAGCTCAACTTGAAATCGAAAAGCACTACTTTGCTACATCTCTATCCGTGTTAGAAGATCAACCCATGGATATGTTACTGGGACTGGATATGCTTCGGCGTCATCAGGCAAGTGAACTCGGTTAGCATATTTTCGTGAAACTGTTGGTTCGAATTTTTAGTGTGTCCTGGATCTGAACAAAAATGTCCTTCGGCTGGCCAATACTGTTGAAACGAGTTTTCTTCCCGAATCAGAATTACCGCATCATGCACGATTGTCTGGAAATGGCGCAGAAACGGAAGACGATGATTTAAGCAGAGCCGGTAAATGTCTTTGTCATTATTCGTTGAACACATCAGAAGAGTAGTCCGTATTTTCCGATTGAAAAACAAGCTCGTAAAGAGAACTCTGCACTGAGATAAATGGTGTTCTGTTTGCATTAGAATCTCCGATACAGCAAACGGCGAAAAGAACTCGATGCAAGTAGTATGCTCTCTGTTTGTGATTGTTTTTCTTAATCATAATCTATCGAGTGTATAACGTATTTGATACATAGCAAGCATCGAAGGAGATATTTCGAAAATAACTGTGTTATTATTTTAGCTGACGGCCATCAGCAACCTCGTTCACAACAACCAGCAACGGCTAGTTCTACTACTACATCATCCTCATCATCATCGTTTCCAGAAGATACAATAAAACATATCACCAAAAGTGGTTTTACAAGGGAACAAGCAATCGAAGAGTTAAAAGTGACAAATGGCGATCCTACTAAAGCGCTTGTTTCGCTCATGGCAAAAACTCTATCAGTACCAAAACGAAAACGTTAACATCTATGATTCCAATGTACATATATATTGAAGATAAAGACTATCAACTGTTTTCTTGTTGTCTCTTATGCTTTAAGCAATTTTTTCGTGTTAATTAAAATGGAATATCCTAGAGTCATTTAATCTCATGAAATAAAAGTGCATTTCCATCCCTGAATATAGATGTTTCACGATCAAAGGGATAATATCGGAGGCAATCGAACAACTTTGTGAATATATATCATATTATAGATCAACCAATAACATTCACTAATGATTTTTATAATTAATAAATTATTTAGTGATATTTAATGTATAATGCCTTGTTTGAACATATATATATGTCTAAATCGGTGTGAAAATAGCATGAAGACGCTATTACGAAAAAAAGCAAAGATTTGCGTATAACTTTGTGTAGAAATAATAGAGTACTTGAACCACTCTTGAGGGTGAGGGTGTGGGTATAAGTGAAACTATATCTATTTCTATTCCTATCTACTCATTTGTTATAAGTATGATACAGACATCTATTTATATTCGAATTAATACTAGCCTATCGGGGGTCGACTTATAATATAAGTCAAATTAGGCATCTCGTCATGTATAACAGAGGATTATCAACGATCTTATTCACAACAATCAACATTTAAAGTACCAGACAACCCTTTCTCCTAAATCTAATTTTATTTAATATTTATTTAATACTGGAATGAATAGTTCAATTTATTACGTATTATATTTGCAAAAAAAGTCGAGTCATTTGACCGTTTGCTGTTGACTAGATCAGTGTTTTTTAACGTGCGAATAAGAATAATACGAGGTGCTCGTCTTCTTTACTGAACTGTATTGAACAGAACTTTGCCCAACAGCGACATGTCCGGGAGAAACTATTCCAGAATGATTAGGTGTAACCGAAGTCACTTGAGGTTCACATACAGGAACAGAACATGCAGTAATTGGCTTGTACACATTCACATTTGTAGAAGCTATAATAAAAATAACAGTTTTAGAGACATATTTTGCAACTTGACTATGACTTTAGCAAGAACTAAAGAAGTTATGTATTCTTTCGAACAAGTTTTCTATGATAAGATTTTTACTTGTATAATTGTTTTTCATATGGTTGATAATCTCGTAAAACTCTTTTGCTACACATTTAATCTATAATAATCATTAAAAAGTTCAATTAATCAAGTATACCAGTACAACTTACTTTGTTATGATGGATCGCCCACTTTTTATGATGATCTACATTCATGCAATATACATAGATTGCTTCAACCTTAGAATCATTATGAACGCTTTGTGTAAGTTCTTCACCAAAATTACCATTCACAATCAAAAGAACTCGTGATCTGTTGCACTGAATATGAGTTACGCATTCATGTAGTGTGTCATGTATGACAACAGGGTCGGATGAAATACCCAATTCTTGTAAAGCATTCAGATGTGCATATTGACTTTTCGCTGTTGGATCGAGCCATGCAATTGTAAACCTGTCCATTAGAAGACATTCGTCAATTACTTGTTAACTAAGTACAGCAACCTTCTACTAGGTCTTATATCGTTAACGCTTATATATAGACACGAATCAGGTCAATTCTAAAACGAAAACGATGAGATTTCTTTTGTTTACTGCAACAGCAAATATGCGATAAAAGTATTTGATATATTATCTTTTTTCCGAGACTGGACGATAATAAATATTTATTTTCATTATCGTACTGACATTTTAGATATCACGTGAGAACTCCTAAATCATACGACTTGTTGCCTCTACTGAAAAGAGGTTAATGCGTCGAGCTGATATCACTGAAAAAACGAGTTGATGTGTGTTCGTTCGTTCGTTCATTTTGTCTTAAAATATTACCTAACACTAGTTGAAAGTAGTAAGGGTTGACCGAACGGTAATCGAGGTTGAGGTTCTCGAACCCGGTGTTAGCTTTTTCATGAACACTTTCTCGCCCGGTTTTTTGCGATAAAGGATCAATTTTTTAGACGATAATGTTTGAAGCGGCAATATGTAGAGCAAAATGTAATAGCTGACTGACGTCCGATCGCTGGATCTCCATAGTCATCAGCATATTAATGAGATCACACACTTTTATGAACAGCTAGCCGCGAGTGGTCGACCGGAGAGAGGCCGCCAAACAACTAGGCGTTATAATTTCAGAAGATTTCAGGAAGCAAAATTGGTCCAAGTAAAACATTCTGACAAATTATCAAATGATATCAGATCGTTCAACTGAAATAACTTTTTTCTCTTTTTGGACGAATAGTAGCGCTCTATGTACTATGCTTTCAGTAGAGGGTTTAGCGGCTACTAGGCCGTGTTACTTGTTTTATTTATATCTACAATTGCAATGCAGTTAAAACACGAATACTATATCATCTTCATTTATCAAGTGTGTTGAAAATTCAAATTCTGTATTACATCTATGAGATTCAATAATTAGTCGTATACATATGATTTACTAGTTTGTACTATAAATATAAATTTGCTTTTAAATTCATTTTGTTCAATTGATTCTTTCTCTTTCAGTTAATCGATGTGAAAATCAGTGCGTTGAAGTAGAGATGATGCTCTTCACAAATTTCACTTCGATTGATTTAATTAAAAGTTTTTTGCTTATTGTTGAGTAATCTATTTACTCGACTGATTATTCATCGTTAAGAGGAAAATGTACTTGTTATTACCTTTCATGCAGGTACCTTGCCGAAACAACTAAAAATAAACGGACGTTATCTTTCGAATCAAAAGCATACATACACAGTTTGAGACGATATCTTTTCACTAAATCTTCATGTAATCTCAGAAACAAGTACCTCGATGAGTGTGGCATGTGCGGAGGATGTTGAAGGTTGATAGTTTTCAACTGAATTCAAGCTTCAAGTTCCACATTACTGGAAAGTGCTAGAAATATATCTTGAGATTGATTTATCGCTTATCTTTACCGACAGTATTTTATTAATACAGAGAAAATTGTAGTTAAGTTGAAGCTTTGTCATTTGACACTTAGATATAAGATTATTTTTCGTAAATGAATCATCAATCAATGAACAGATTTACATTTCAATAAAATGAAGATAGATTCTCTTGTCGTTGCTGCTTTTGCCACACGTCAACTCCAGCTAGGTAAATCGTGTGCGAAATAGATGATGTGTTGGAACGAGTATTTTGATCAACTAAAGTAGATTTGCTCTTCACACCATTCGGCTTACTTTGATGATCGTTTGAACCTGTCTCCGTTGATAAACTCGATAGTAAGGATGATCTCGGAAGCGGTAGAAACGTATTTTTATTCGAATTCACTATATTTGGTAATTCTTCATAATCGTAAGGTGGTATTTTACGTTGCAGTGAAACATTTGTTAATGAAGACATTTCCGTTGTATTTGAATTGAGATCATTCGGTTTCAAATACTTTCGGCATGACGCCAGAGGACTGTCGTCTGTTAATGGCGTTGAATAATGACTTGAGTGTGAAAGATTTGTCATCGGTAATAAAATACTCTTGTTCTGCAAATTGAATTGGAGTTGATTTTCTTTTTGAAATCGTCGAGGTCGCCAACGAACGTATCTACCAGCACCAAATATAACACCGCAACAAGTGAACACACTAATACCAATTGTCACAAGTAAAAGCCAATATCTGAGGCATTTAAGGAATAAAATCTTTCCCTGTTTCGTTTCGGAGCACTGNATAACACAGCAACACTCATCATGTCGAATGATAATCTATTCTCTATGGTTATTCATATTTTCATCGGTAACGTCGGTAGTTATTTAGTAGTTTTAATGCCGGATTAGACCTAATCATTCATCATATAGGCATAGTATCATTCCTCTTTTCTTTGCTCATCTGCATCAACGAGAACGAATTAGTAGTCTTTTCTTGTTCGCATATTCTTCTTCTGAGTGATCGATGATGTGAGCAGAAATAGAAAAAAAACCGGGCAACTGAACATGATCATTCCATTTGAAGCTCTAAATAAGAACATTTAAGTGGTTTAAATAGGGAATCGTAACTGTTGTTTTCCATTAAGTAACGCTGTTTCTATATTCATGCATAGAATCATTCGTCTGATTCGATTACAAATACCATCTATCCTTGAAAATCTACACATGGAATACGTATGTACATACGTTATTCCATGTTGATCAGCACAACTTATCTGTCTTTCCCTCTCTCTCTCTCTCTTTCTGCATACATATATATCATTCGCATTAAAAAAAGGTTATCCGAGCAATTATCGACAGACACTATGATGTGTTTTACTAGACTCTATCATTTCAGTACAAGAAACAACAACAAAACGAAGAAAAAAAAAGAAGAATATATATGTCTGTATATGAGATTATATACAATGATATGTAAAATGGAAAATTAAATCAAACTATCTTATAGAAACAATCATTTGAGTTTGCTCATGTTCTGATGACGATCTTGGATGAGAAAAGTTCCGTTGAGTCGGATGTTGCTGTTTGTTATTATTAGCTCTTAACGACGATTTCGTTGCACGGATAACGTTATTTTCTTCACTTGCACGAGAATATTTAATAACAACAAGACTTATTGAAAGTAGAACGGCACCAGATACGACAAACGTTATACCTAATACTTTCATTGCTTGTCGATTACATTTAAATGACGATGATGATATCGAGATGATATTGATCACTTCACCATCTTTATCTATCGGACTGATTGTGCCACAACCATTAAAATGAAATATATAGATGAGTAAAATCGTACCGAGAATAATGAATATTATTGAAAGGACAAGCATAATAATTCCACATGGGAAACTACATTGCAGAAAACGATAACAACAACCGCGAACAGTACCATTTTGATGTTGTTTTCTTGTATATGGAGTAAATGCTCCGACCATTGAATGCATTGTTTTCTTTTATTATGTTCTATTAATGATTAAGTAACGAAATGAATGGAAATCTTTGAGACGACCAAAAAAATCTATGCTGAGAATGATTATCCTTGAAGAAACCAACAGTCAAATGGTTCCATCTGCTTTATCTAAAAGAATGAAAGAAATAGACAAAAAAAAGAACTTCTCTTGCGTTCTTTCCAAAAAGAGAAGAAGAAGAAATCGCTGCAAGTTATTTCATGAGTAAAATGATCAATTTAAACTAATAGATTCATTTATCATATCCCATAGGTAGGATATCACAATAAGAAATAACATCAAGGCATGTGTATACACCCTCAAATCATCTCATCAATCTTTTCCAGGGATTTCACAAATCTAAGATATTTGCGTCGAAAGACAACGATATATCATCATTGTCATTAGGTAAAAAATGCAATTGGATTCGAAAGAAGACTCGAAAAATGACAAATCTTTTGCTGTAGTTTTGGGGTATTAGCCACAGAATCTTGGCCAGTCTGAGAAAGCGAAGACGAGAAAGCGACAACAAAAGATAAACACTTACTATAACTCGAGCAAGACTGTGATTAGCTTTCAGTTCGGCATGCTGACGAAAGAGACAAGAAGAAAAAACAACGAGAAATGATGACGATCGGAAACATTTGCGTCAACCGATATGATGATGGAATGTATAGAGGAGGTGTAGAAAGAAGTAGACGCCGATATAAACAGATCAATCGACAAAGAAAGAAAATCATTAACTAAAAAGAATATTTTCCATCTCATAGAAATTGGACAAGATGATGATGTTCATTAAAAAGAAAATAGTTCGTTATCATCAGTTATATTTCTCTCTCTCTCTCTCTCTTTCGCTTTCTATTCGAAATGTTATATTCTGACTGCTAGTATAATTATTTCTATTGTCATATGCTTTATCCCAAACTACTTCTCTCGTTTTGTATACATTCTCTCATCTTTCTTCATCGTCGTTTCTTTTTCTCTATTTTTTTTGATTAACACCGACAGAATCAGAGATCGACAGCGTTCAATAGATTGAAGCAAAGAAGCGAACAGCTATGATTTTGCTAGTACAATGTGACAATAAACTCGCAGAGACGATGGAATAATAACACGTTCTTCATCTCCGCCGTTGACAATGATGTTCTACACATTCGAGATTTTTCTTCCATTCCATTTTTGTTTTGGAAATAACATCAAGACAAGAATATATAAAAGAAAACTCACTTTCACTACTCGTGGAATCGAAACAACTCGATTTGCTTGATGAAATCAGCATCCATTGAGCATTTTAATTTAAAAGCAACAATGAACAATCGTTTGATTCACTGCTTGGATTTCTAATCTCTTCGTATTCCGCTCGTCTTCTCCTCGATTATCTGTTCGATCGAGCATATTTGTTTATTCGTCGAATCTTTCTAACAAATATCTTTTCTTGCCATTTGAATCGATAATAAGAATAGTCTGTTAATTTAATTTCCTATTACCTGTCATCTGACGAGACTTCTTTATCTATTCTTTGACTGGAAGATAAAAATTAGTACGTATCATGCAAATGTTATCTAAACAAATGCAGTGATTAATATGCCATCGTTCGCTGTTGCTGTTGTTGTTGTTGTCAATATCTAAGAAAATGCAACTATTGATTTGCTCTTTTCATTTCTCAATGCACTCGAATTACTAATGATGAAAAATATCCACAAATTTTCATAATGAATACGCTGGAAAATCACTCGTTCTGTCTTATTAATCATTTCCGTTCAAGAAACGTGACAAATGTTAACAGGTTGATATTTATTATCAAACAGTAGAAACGTGCGTTGATCTGATTATGATTGATTGATGTGAAGAAAACGTCTTTTCGAGCTATTCTTTCTCAATAAAAAGAACGCATCTCTGTACGTTTGATCTTCTTCTTTGCAAGTCTACTTTTATGTCCTTGAATAACGTGCCTTTTCCGATCTTAAATAATAAAAGATGATGTTATTGCTTTTCAGAGTCTTATTCGTTGACATATTTATAGATTTGATCTTCATTAAGATATACAGACGTGTCATTTATTTAATACTGAAAAGAAGACGAAGGAGAAAAAGAAAACACAAACAACTTGAAGGCAATGAACTGCAAAGTCTGCGATAAAAGTTTCTTTCTTTTCGAATATTTCCTTCAGAAATAATCGACAGACCATATGTACATCAATCGATTTGTTCCTGGTCATTAATATCTCGTTATATTTGGCAAGTCGTACGTTTTAGCTTGGGATGAGTTTCTCTAATGCGGTCTAAATGTCATTTCATTGGAACGAGAAAGTTTGAAACAATTTTTCTGTCAAGGTTAAAGAGCGTGGCGTCAACAAGTTATATTTCATGCATTTATAATTATGACGATTATAATTCTATTCGAATCTATTATTAATTCTCATTGATTATTATCCTAACATATATTGGTGATGAAATTCTGTCACATTCCTTCCGGTACACCAAGTTCATTTTTCATGGTCAAATGAGACTCAACATTAGATTGTAATCTAACAGATATTCAATGAGATTGTTTCAGTAAGAGGCTCTTATTTGTGAAGAACGATCAAATGTCAATAAACTGATTTTATTCTCTTCTGAAAAGTAGATATGATGTTCTTTACATAGGAACCTTGATTAAGATCGATTGTTAATAATAATAAAAATGGCGAAAGAACATATTTAATCTTGAATGAGGAAAAATCCAATATAGCAACTTATTAATTCGTCTTCATGAATACAAATCGTTTTCTGTTCAGTCCATAGATATGAAGCTGAATTTTCGAGGTTTTTTTCACTGATTTTAGTTAATTAGATTTGTAAATTATTGGCAAATCAATTGTTTATGCGAATGTAGACATGTAATTTCATTGCGATTGTAATACGAGAAACGGCATTTGAATCACTTTCTCTCTCATGCGCATGTGATAAAATCGATATTGATCATCGGACAATAATTGAGAAATGAAAAGAGTACATAGTTCAAGGTTTATTCTCGAAACAAGATCGTGATTTCTATATGTAACAAGAAAAAAAAAGAGAGAAGAAATCACGAAATAATAGCTTGATAGTCTCCGAACGTCATTGATACAACGACGGACGGAGGACGGCAAATAAGGGAAAAAAAGAAAAAAAGAAGATGTAATTATAGAGTAGGGCAAAACTTCAACATATAGAAATGTTCATCTGGACATTTTTTTTTCTTCTCGTCTTGTATTAATCTTTTCCGTAGCGCACACTCATAGAATAGTGAAGGAAGAGAGAGAGAGAAGTAGCTTCGATCATCATTCTCTCTTTCTTTCCAGTGAAGACCATGTACACAGAGAAAGACAGAACAGAATGAAAGTTAACCATCGAACTAATTTGAATCGCCATCTCCATTGAACTTATTAATAATTGTTCCGCCTTATCACTATTGCCGTATAAGAAATCAATGTCCGGTTCATTCTCATTATGTCGGAAAGAAAGCGGAACAAACATTAGCAGTCCATCAAAAAATCGTATTAGTGAAATGTGTAACAACCTCTGTCTATTCTCATCCAACTGGTCAATCATTTGCAAGTAAGATGAAGACTTCTTGCTACTTATTTGTTTATAATGATAATGATATGTTTTAGCTCATTCATACATTGACGAGGAGATAATAGATAGGAGTGTGCTAGTGTATGTGGTAATCACAGACAGATATCAATGTAATCATTACCCGACAATATTTTTGCATCATTCTTCGACTTTTTTTGCACAAAGTGTACACTGTTTCAGATTAACAATAGCAAGAAATGCCAATGATGTGGTAAGAAACACCTGTCAGATTGCCTTTATATGTTACAGAACATTCCTTTCTTTCTTTTTCTGTTCAGGAAATAGATAAAGTCTAGCAGCTATGTTCCGACACAGAATAAGTGATGTAATCCAGAAACGAGAATAGGAAGTAAATCAGATCAAGCTACGCTGTATTAAACCTGTCACACTTGATCGATTGATGATCGTTCTTTGCCGACGTACGCAGATTAGCAGAAATTTCCAATTCTCTCGTTCTTTTCTATGATGCAATCAACTGTCATTTCTAATCGATGTTTTCTAGAGATTCAAAAAAGAAATCATGGACATACTTGGATTAATACGTCGTTTACCTGATATAGTTGCCTATAACAAATTTGATGATGACTTTTTTGATCGTTTGAATTATTCGCATACAGTAGCAATCTTAACTATCTTTGCTATTATTGTTACCAATCGACAATTTAGCGAAAATCAAATCAAATGTTGGGTTCGTATTTACTTTTTCTCTCTCCATCGATTAAATTATGTGAATATTATCTAGGTCCCAGCTCAATTTACTGGTAGTTATGAACAATATGTCAATCAGATTTGTTTTATAACAAATACTTATTCACATGATCTGCATCAACCGTTGAAAGATGATCCGGATCAACGATATCAACAGGAATTGAAGTATTATCAATGGACACCGTTTATTTTATTGCTCATGGCTATATTATTTTATATTCCTCATCAGTTTTGGCGTGGCCTCAGCCTTCGGAGTGGAGTTGATATCAAGGATTTGATTGAAGCTGCTCAAATGTATCGTTCGGCAAATGTACATCATGAAGAAAAATTGAAATTATTAGACTATTTAACTAATTGGTTGAATAGTTATTGTTCGAATTCATATCGTTTAGTAACACTTGAACAACGGAAACTTTTACTTTCACGAAAAGCTCAATGGATTCGTCTTATACGTCATATCTTTTTTCCTATTGGAATCTATACAGGCAATTATTTAATCATTAGTTATGTATTTATTAAATTTCTCTATTTATGCAATTCAATTGGCCAAATTCTTCTTTTGAATACATTATTAGGGAGACAATTTTGGTATTATGGCATTGAAATTCTACATAGATATTGGACTAAACAGATTGGATTGCTCTACTCAGGAAATGAATACTTTCCAAAAGTGGTAGGAGAATATATCTCAGAGTTCATACAGTAGTACTTGACCGATCATTTTTCAAGAGAAAAAGATAGTTCAGCATATTAAGTTTTACTAAAGACATCTTTGCTTTTTTTTTGTTTAGGTCCTATGTGATTTTACTGTTCGCGAACCGAATCATCCTCGTGAATCACATCGTTATACGGTTCAATGCGTTCTACCATTTAATCTTTTCAATCAACAAATCTTCACCTATCTTTATTTTTGGTTATTGATCTTGTCCATATTCAATGCGATTTCAATTTTAATCTGGTTTTATCGTATATCTCCTTATACAAGTTTTCATTATCTCGAACGACGAATAAATATCCATTTTTTATCGGATGAGCATTCGAAAGAACAAGAACTACGGCATATATTTGTCTATAAATACCTACAAGGTGATGGCACATTTATGTTACGTCTACTTGCTTCCAACGTCAGCGATTATGTATGTACAAAAATTGTATTGGAACTTTATAGAAAATTTCGTTCAACTTTTATAAATGACAAAACTGGTCGAGAAGCATTATTTGAACGCATAGCGAAAAAGATTTCTGAAGATGAAAATAATCCGACTGACGACGAGTCAACAGGCCAATCAGTTACAACTGATTTTCTGCCAGTACCAAATCCTCGTCAGGGAAAGATTTCTGTTGAACGTAATATGCTTCGCCAGACATCGTCTGATACAGCCGTAATGAAACAATCTGAACCGCATCCGCATAGAACTGTTTCTTTTACATTACCAACTACTGAAATTAATGAAGATCCACACTTTCCAACTCCTCTGACGAGTGAACCTGTAAAAAGTATTCATCCAATTTCCAGTGTCGAAACTGATGTTTCTCAACAGACGATTCCTCAAAATAAAACTGCCGAATTCCAACTCGGCTCTGAAACTAGTCCTGTATCCACTCCATCGTCGACCTCATCGAGTTTGATGAGAGGACCATCACCTTACGCAACAACGTTTATTCTACCGAAGAAACGAAATGAACATGAATTACCCTATGTCGATGATAGTAATTCGAGCAATCCACCTGTTGTCCAACAACCGACTCATACTAGTGTATATCATCGATCACAATCAGCGGCAGCGGCTTTAGAGTCGTCGAATTCCCTCCTTCAACGAAGTCATGATGTGTGACTTTTCTCGCAGAAAGTATCTTTTAATCTTTTCAGACGATTCGATACGCGAGTTGCTCTTGCAATAATAAAATAAAATATTTTTGTTATTTCTATTGTTCTTTTGATTTGGTTGCACAACTTTGTCATAGGTGTATCGCTTCATTGCTGCAAGCGCACGAGAAAGATAATGAAACTTGGACGGAAAAAGTCACATATTTGCACTTCTCTTGATTCAGACGATGTGGATATCCATATCACCATTCTCAAGATCAAGATGGAAAAAAGACTAAGCTTGCCATCGAGTGGGTGGGTTTAGCTTGCTAATCGAATAAGAAAGGGTCATCTCTTGAAATTAGAAATGAACAAAAGCTACCATCTGGTGACATCTTTTTACATATGATTAATTCGGATACAAAGTAGATATTTCCCTATTGTTTGATGCAGACAAAGATCTGTTCAAATGTACACACAAAAGTCTATTTCTCTATACAAAATTTCGTCGATATTCGTCACTTAATAATAAAAGGACGTTTTATCTATTTCTGATGGTTTCCATAAAAGTATGCCATTTGTTTTTCGTCTCTTATAATTGCAGATGAGTCACTATCCAATTACGAGAAATAATGTAGATGAAATGAGGATTGTTGTGTGTGATTGACTTTTATAACAGAAGACGTCTTTATTTAGAATGTTGGGCCAAATGGTGATACGCGGCAGCAACAGCGTACGGAACATCGAATAGGCAACATTCATACTGGATATTTAACTATAATTGCATACAATCAATATTGGTATCATTCCTATATCAACGCTCAAACCGATCACATAAATCAGCAAGCCTTACTACTTCAAAACGAACAAATGGATGCTGTGCGCAGCGTCTTGAATCAAATATTGGATACAGTTGAACTTCAAAATAATTAATTTTTTACATCAGATAAGAGAAAATTTTCTCATAACTACTGATTTCTTCCATATCAGTTTATTTTGTCTCCAACAAGATATCTCTCCATATCGTTTCCTTTACATTTTCGTATGAAGAGAAACTTCTCCATCGAGTTTCTTTACGAAGTTCTTGTGTGAGACTAAAAATATAACTTTCCCTGTATGTGTGAATTTTTGTAAATGTTTATTTTTTCGTGCGAGAGGAGCCATCACTTTTCCAGTTTCAATTGTTATGTCCATATGGCTTATATATAATTGTGATAGCGGATGTTTCTGTACACATAAACATTTACGTCAACAGTCGCTTCTTGATATCATCAGTACCTTTGGCCTAATTTAAGCATTTGAATTTCTGTTACCGATTCATGCTTATGTTTATTATCGATCATAATCGACAAGAGCGACTGAAGCGTCGTCGAATTCCCTCCTTCAACGAAGTCATGATGTGCGATTGATCCTCTTCTTTTCAGAAAAGGCATCTTTTTTAATCTTTTCAGACGAGTGGATAGTCGAGTTGCTTTTGCAATAATAAAATATTTTTGTTATTTTCATTGTTCCTTCGATTTGGTCGCATAGATACGTCATGTCATTCTCACATGTTAGCAGGATAATGAAACTTACACAGAAAAGAACATATTTCATTTTCTTAATTCAGATGACATAGAGGGTGTGAGGGTGAGAATGTGAAAAGTAGTACTGAAAATTTTTCGTATAGCTTCACTGACATGCTCATCACCATGGGCCTATTTGAACAAACGAAAAGCCTAGAAGGCTTAATAATGTTTTCAGAGTAAGGAAATGTTTATCTTTATCTCTATAGAAGATGCAGGAGGGACTAGTCTCGGATGTATTTTCATTGAATGAAGTTTTAAAGTATACGATAGACTTCCTTCTAAATTCAGAGTAGATTTGTTTTACACTCTTTCTCTCTGTTGTTCTTGTGTATTGTAACAGCTTGAATGATCTATTCGAGCAGGAAGAATCAGCATTTAAATTAGTTCTTGTCTCACAAGTTTTTTTTTGACAAAAGGCAATCGATGATTTACGTATGTGAATTTGAGTAATGTCAGATGAAGGAAGCTGATGTATCTTTTGTGGCCCTATCTAATTCAAGAAAAGAATATGAAAGACGACTAGATTGAATATATTGCTTTCATCCTTTCGTGTGATAGATATCATACAATATGAATGCCTGGGAATGACACTCAAACGAAAGATGTATGGAAGGAAAAGTAATGATCGTAGAATTGAAAAATCAGATTTTCACTTACTGAAATCATCCTGTTATGAATTATGAAGGAACTACGAAGCAACTCAAGATAGCATGTTTTCGTATGCCAATGAAAAAAGTGAGCTGGAGTTGTTTTGAACCTTATAGGCAACCTTATCCTACTTTATAGCATGGATCGCTCTCTTAGAAAAAGACTGAAAAGTGTCATGATGGAGAGGCCACGATATTTGCTCTGAACAATTTGTCGTTGCTTCAAGTGAGTGATTTCATTTGGAAATATTGAACAAGTAAGAAGAACGATCCTAGTCTTTGGGTTGGTGTTGTGAAACAAATGATAATTATTGACTGAATGTCGCTTCGACGGACATATGATCATACTTTCTATGGAAGAAAACTATACAGAGTATTATGCGTTCCATTACAAATATAGGCGATGGTACACCGAGTCGGTGTCGACGGATGTCATTTGCATTATCATCGTAATCGGATGGTCTTCTCAAAAGTTATCGCGTAAATGAACAGGTATATTGATCGATTCTAGCATGTATTCGCTTTTTGAGTAAATAAAAACGATATTCTTAACATATTTCATATCTTTATTTTGAAAAGAAATATGTTAAACTTGAGTTGTGATAAATTAGTATGTTCCACGAACAGATTCTCATCTTCTTGTGTGATTTTAAGGACTCGTTGTTTGTTTGTCATTTTTCTGAAGTTAAGACAATATACATAGAAAATAATCTTTTATCATTTATAAAAAACAGTTCGTTGTACTTACCGCGGTACAGTTTGTTTGACGCTTCGCTTTAAACTTTTGCACTCGACTATTACCATAATCAGACACATATAAGTTGGAATCTATGTCAAAGGTTATTCCTTGCGGATTGGTCAACTGCGTAGATGTTCCTCCAGCCTGTCCTGTACCAGCAATAATGACTGGTTTTTGCATATCACTCAAAGAATATTTTAATATCGTGTGACTCGAAGGATTCGACACGTATAGATTTCCGCATTGATCTAATAGAAGCCCTGTAGCGGAATTAAAGATTGCATTTGTCGCTAGTGTTTCACCACCAGTCCAAAAGTCTCCGTCAATCCATCGCTGAAGCCGATTATTTTTAGCATCAACAATATAAATACCAGAGGTTGTTTCATCAACATACATGGCGGTTGGATAGTTTAAATGGTAATAGTCTCCTCCAGCACTACTATCTCCAGCAACCACTTTTCCGTATGCAGAACCGGGTGTAAATTTTAACACTCGATGGTTGTTAGAATCCGATACAAAAATATTGTTATTGCTGTCAACATAGAAATACTGGCAACTAGAAATCTGATTCAGAGCAGTGCCTGTTCCCGTCCCACCCATCACTGTAGTGATATTTCCAGTACTGAGGGAGAATTTTTGTAGTCTGTATTTGCTTACATCACAGTAATATAAATTCTGTTTTTTATGATCAAGAACAAGTCCATTTACATAATTCGTTAGATATGTTCCATTTTGAACTAATGTCTGAATAGTTGAATCCCCTGGAATAAACTTTTGAATTCTGTAATTATGATAATCTGCTACATAAATATTTGTCTGATTATCTACGGCTACCGCACCTATTGGTCTTAATGGTTGAGCTGCTCCAGGAATCGCTCGAGCAACGGTTGTTCCAACTGTGTTCCATTGCAAACATTTACACGAGTTCACTGATGGTAACGTCGAGGTTGTTACTGAAGGAGAACAGAATAAATTGTATTATGTGAAAAAGAATTGGCATACAGCTGTTTGAGACTTTTATTACGCCGAGCTACTTCTGTGGAAAGACAAAAGATTACAGTTATCTCGACGATGAGGATAAATATGTGAGTTTCGATAAAAACGATAGTCGCATCCACACTTTATAGGTTGAATTTGTATTTTTCTTATATTCTTCTTACTTACATGCTACAGTTGTTGATTTTGTAGTTGTGGTGGTAGTAGTTGTAGTTGTTGTTATCGTAGATGTAAATATCGTTGTTCTGTTTTCTGCCATTGACAAAGGTGGACATATGTCTGAATCAATTAAGTTTAATGGATAACACACTGGTTGCTCAAAATTATTACAAGAATGTCCTCGAACGCAGACTGTATAGGGTTTGGAACAAGTTACGTGATCTTGTTCACAGGGAGTAAGAAAAGCACAGCTAATACTTGGTATCGCACAAATACCAACAAATTCACTTGCTGACAAAGGCATGCATCGACAGTTTGAATTCGGCGAACATTGAGTATTCATAGTTTCTGTCATTGGATTGCACAACGATTCCGACGGAACAAGAGCTTTCAAGTCGACAGTGTGGCTATCTTTACGTTGTGGTGAATTTGCTAGATGGTCGAAGGAGGAAAAGGACATACTTTCTACATTCATCCAGTAGGTAGTAATGAACCTAGTATAGTTAAATTGAGTCTGTCGAAACCTTGTGAAACAAAATGCGGATTATTTTGACTTACAAGGAATAGAAGATCAAAGAGGCACGTCGCAACATGATCATTGTTATGATAAGTTTGTCACGATATCGGGTAGTCTGTTTAGTCAAAGTTTTGTGTGGCTAATAAATTATTGAGACAGGTATTCTCGTAAAGCAACACGACAATCATAATCATCCATTTAAATAGTGTTCCACCGGCGCTTTCTCTCAATGAAAAGATGAATGTGAGTTTCGTTTCTCCCATAATAAAATAATCTAGACGAGAGTGATCATTCAGTGAAAAAAATAAACGAGAAGACAGTTATTCTACGAGGCCACCGTTAAAGTATGAGTGTGGATGAATGTGTGAAACAAGAGCAGATGCTTCTATCTGCACTCATGTCTATAACATAGAAAAATAACCCCTTACAAAAAAATTCTGTCTCTCTCTCTCTCTGTGCAAACGAAAAATTTTACCAGTCTGATTTTTTTATATGTTACTGGTCGAGCCCGTCGGAGCGAACAATCTTTGGATCCAAAAACAGACCCCGACTCGATCTAACCAGGTCCGAATTTATCCAACGGGCTCTATCGGTCGCACTAGAATGTCCTTTCTCTCACGAAATCCATACTTTAAGTAATCTTTAGTATTAACACGTAGTAGTTTATCAATCTCGCTCTTCCTAGTAATACAAAAGCCACTGAAAAATTCTTTTCGAGCGATTAACTGTTTCGTCCGATGTCATCTTCATCAGTTCTTTCATTCATAAATATTGTCGTTCACCAAGTGAAATATTACACGAGTAATCCATCAATCCTCCTACGGATTTTTGTGGGTCTGGGTAGACGTTGCGCTCAATACGACTCTGGCGCGAAGACGTTAAAACCAGAGCGGAAGGAGATATGAAAATGATAGATAAAACAGCATCTTTAATTTATTTTGATGATTTAATATGAAACACATTCCATCTTTTAATGGTGGTTAAGTAAAGACACTACATGTTCGTGAGTCGAAATGCCATCTCATGCTAACAACTTGTTGATACAACAGTGGTAAGATGAATCGAAATTGTCTGATGAAATTATTTCAAATGACTATTCTATTTCGCACAATTATCCATTGTATGTTGATATCATTGTTTATTGCAGCACCAAAAATTTTTCCCTTACAGAATATATTTTTCGCGACATCTAACGCCCTCTATGATAACTTGGTATTTATTTCGGAAACAAACGTAAGAGAATATAAATTAGATCCGAATATTAATTAATCGTCGTCAAATTCAGCAAGATGTTTACAGAAACAACGAATGATTTCGCTTATTAGTACCTTCCGATGAATCATTAGATGTTCAAGACTGCCTATGTTATTTTATCTGATCATTCATATAGCATTTTTGATTTGATAAAATCTTTTTCACTCATAAGTGAATAGATTGATATCAATTTTCATGTTTTAGATTCTTTAAAAAGAAATTAGCAACAATGGCTGGCGAATATGATACAGCAATCACAGTGTTTTCTCCTGATGGACGTCTTTTCCAAGTTGAATATGCGCAGGAAGCTGTGAAGAAAGGATCAACAGCCGTTGGTGTACGTGGCAAAAATATCGTTGTTCTAGGCGTGGAAAAGAAAGCTGTTGCTGTTCTACAGGAAGATCGGTAGGGTTTTTATTTCAAATTATTTTCCATTTTGATTTGCGAATGATTTTAGTACAGTGCGTAAAATCTGTGTGCTCGACGATCATGTTGCTATGGCATTTGCTGGTCTCACAGCTGACGCTCGTGTTCTTATGCATCGTGCCCGTATCGAATGTCAATCTCATCGACTCAATGTCGAAGATCCCGTCACCATTGAATACATCACCCGGTTTATTGCTGATTTACAACAAAAATATACACAAGGACGTGGTCGTCGTCCATTCGGTTTATCAACGTTGATTGTCGGTTTCGACTATGATGGCACCCCGCGTCTATACTCAACTGATCCAAGCGGTACTTATCATGAATGGAAGGCAAATGCGATCGGCCGACAAGCCAAAACTGTTCGAGAATATTTAGAAAAGTCTTATACAGAAACAATTTATGAATCCAATCATGAGTCAATCAAACTGTGCATTCGAGCATTACTGGAAGTGGTGCAGAGTGGATCGAAGAATGTGGAAATTGCGATTATGGCAAGACACAAACCATTGAAAACGCTGAGTGCCGAGGAAGTCGAAAAGTACATAGCTGAAATCGAGAAAGAAAACGAAATCGAAGCAGAAAAGAAAAAGCAAGCAAAACAAATCGGTAGTGGAACTACAACTTCATCCACATTAACAAGCCAGACATCAAGAAAAGAATAAAAGAACGAGGTCAAAGATCTCAGTGAATAACATTTTCTTCTTAAACACTCTTTTTTTTTATCGTTAATTCATTTGTTCCGTTTGTTCTATGATGATGATATCAATATAAATAAAACAAGAAACATTCAATGTTCAAGCAAAACCTCTTCAGCTCTAGATTTTCGTCTTCTAATTACAATTTTGAAACGTTAAAACTTGTGTTTTGTAGATGTTTTGTTTCGAATAAAAGATGGATGATGTCATTAAACTCATCGATCATTTGATAAATGCCAAGTATTCTATTGATACGGTGGAATCAATTGTGAATCAGCTGAATGTTCCAAAAGATCAGATCTATCGAATATTAAGAGCTGATCGTTATAAGGATTATTTTCAATTTCTTAAAAAGTCGAATCAAGGCAAAGATAAAGTCGCTCTCACACTCGATGTAAGCGTCTACTCACCCCAAATACGTATTTTCAACTTTCCGTTCTCTAGCTTTTCTGTTGTACACATTATGCTCAACAATGTAAAAATCAATCCTGTCCATTTTTGCACTTGTGTCCGTACAATATTCGACCGATGCATGGCAAATGTACGAATAAAACATGTCCATATGATCATGAAGTTCTAAAAAGCAATCATAATAAAACAATCATCAACACACGTGGTTTAACCTTTCTAACAGACAAACTACTCTTGGATTTAGCACGACTAAGTGCTGACCCAAGTCGATCGGTAAATACTCTTCTTGTCAAATGTAAAACATCTATTCGTCTTTCGATGTTAGTTCTGGGTATGCACCGATAATGGTAAAAAAGGTGGTTGTGCAAAAAAGTCTCAATGTGATAAGCTACATTATTGTTATTTCTCTCTAATCAATGCTTGTACAAAATCCTATTGTCAACATGTTATCAACGATGCATGTGCTGCATACTTCCGACATAAAGAGTTGTCCGAACAAGAAAACAATGATATCTTAGAAGCTTTTAGGAAAGTTCTTCGACAACGGTGCGTGATTTCTATGGAATTCATCGTGTAAAGATGTATTTTTAGAAAGCCTGATTACATTACAACGATTAGTGTTCCTTCGCACCCATCATGGGCTGATCCGGCATCATCAAATGACAGGTCACTCGTTTTCAATGACCATAAAATGTAAATCAACTTTCGCGTTTCGTATTCGAAGAGAAAATGCAAATGATATTTTCGTTCTTCTAGTGAATCTCCAAACGTTGATGAACAACCTTTGACTCCATCGATTCGTTCGGTATTATCGGCAACAGCACCCGAATATAATGCTCAAAGTCCTTCAAAATCCGAGCTTTGTCCACCGATAGCAGAACATGAACAAGATATTCTTTTAATCGATTTGTTAGACGAACAGGAACGGACAGGAACTGAATATTATCTAACACAGGAAGTTGGTTATTCAATGAAACTGTTAATTTGCAAAGTTATCCATTCAGAATATAAGACTTCTCAAAAGTAATGCTTAGAAAAATGTCTCCTACACATGTAACTTGTTTTCTGTTTACAGTCAAACCAACTCTGGGGAACTTGTTTATTATTATTGTCCAATAGAAAATCTTCGTGATCTTTTCAAATTACTTTATTGTCAAAATGAGCACGAATTGTTGATAAAACCATTAATCATCTATTCGAACATTCACGATGCGCACGAAGCAACGGAATTAAATCTTGAAAATAATCAATTTTGTCTATTGCGTCTACTTGTATTTCAGTCGAAACTTGTTCAGGAAAATTCTTTGGAAATCTACGATCCCTCAATGATAACTTTTGATCGAATGTGGATTTACATGTACAATGACCAAGAGAGTTTTTGAATTCATAAATAAAGAACTTTTGCAATTCGTTTTATCTCATTCACTCTGATTGTTTCTGTCGTATCGAAATTACATTTACATGGAAATTGGGAAACAAAGTGAAGGTTGATGATGAGGCAATACTTTTTTACTGACACGTTATGTTGATTTATTAAAAAAAGATTGAGAGTAGAAGAGTACAGAGACTGGAAATAAATATTTTTTCTATTCATAGTTTATTGTGCTGTACAATGTTTATTCAACACTCATTCCATTTTTATCGACGCCCGATCGCATGTTGATGAATGATTTTGATTCATTTTCAACGACGTCATTCTCAATCTTTGAAAATCAGCGCCCTCTATCAGAGAGACATTTTTTTATCGAATTTCTTCACTCTTTCTTCTCGAAATTTTTAATCGCCGTAGAACATTGTAAACTAATCTAATATTTTCTCTCAAAATCATCGACAAAGTCGTAAATCTATTTGTTTTGGAACATTTTCGACCAATCGAAACTCTCCGAAAAAAAAATCTACCTAATTTTTGTATTCTCTACTACATATCGACGGGTGTGAGTGTGTACAGTTGATCGATATTACTTTAGACATCTGTTCGCGGTTGACTTATTAACGCAACATTCCTCATGGATTCAACAAACGAAAATGCAACACCAATGGTAAAAACGGCAAACTTTTCGCGATAAATATCAAGATTCTGTTTTTCTAGGACAGCGGTATTACACCAGAAATGAGCGAAGAAGCAAAACTAAAAGCGAAATATGGCGGTGCATTGCCTCGACAACAAAAACTGTTAACGAGAAAACTAATGACGAAAGTAAAAGAAAATTCTTCAAGTTGAATATTCACGTTGAACTCTTTCGCTTTTCTTCAGCCAAAATATTTCGACTCTGGTGATTATAATGTCGCTAAAGCTCAAGGTAAATTAGACGCTAGTAAACCCGATCCAACAACAAAAATAGCTAACGATAAAGAAGTCCCATCGCTGAATGTTCCTGAAACAGTTACTGGACATGAAATTCCAACACCCGAAACCGTTATGCCAAGAAAGCTGTCGTGTGCAGCAACAATGACGCCAACATCAGCGCAGTAGACTCGCAAAACGTATTTCGCAACGAACAAAATTTAACATATTTTTCTTTCTTATTGTAATCTCTTTCATTCGATTTATTTTTTCACTTCACTATCAGCCTTTTTCTTTCTCTGTATATATGTGAGAGTATTTTCAAAAGGACAAACACACGTACACAGGTTTTTCTTGTCTTTCTAGAAGAATTTAATTAATTGCCGTCACATCATGGGAAAATTTGATGTTTCACTTATTCGATATTTGTCTTCCGAAGATTATCGAGTTCTAACAGCCGTAAGTTATATTTCTCATTTATTAAATATTAATAGAAAGTCTGCTTTTACGGCAGATCCTTTGTTTTCCTTACACACGACTTCGGACACATTCCCTTGAGACATGATCATTTCCGCAAACATTTTTCCTCGAAATTATTATTAACAGAAAGAATTTAATACAACCTAGAAGAATGAACACATTTACGACGATTGAGAAACTGATAAAAAGACGTTCTCGGAATGTAATCTACCTTAACTAAGAGGATTGTCTGTATTGATAAAACTTGTCTCTCGAACATGTCATTTTGTCACTCAGTCATGCTCATATATAATATATATAAAGCATTAATGACTATCTGCATCGAAAATTGAATAGATAGAAACGATATTTGCATATAATTCTGTGAATCCTTTGTTGTTTTGAGATTGATCAAAGAAATCGATGAAGATCTTCCGTTTTTTCATGCTTCGTTTATTTCCGGATGTCATTTTATTCGACAAAGACTTTCGAAGAGTATCTGATTTAGATCGAAATGGGTATGCGCAATCATGAATTAGTTCCGCTACAACTATTAGCTGTGATTGCATCGCTCAAACACGGTGGTTGTCATAAAGTTTTACGCGAATTAGTGCGTTATAAATTAGTTGCATATGACGCAACCGCTCGCCGAAAGTCCTGCAATAACGAAGGTTACCGGTTAACGAATCTTGGCTATGATTATTTAGCATTGAAAGCACTTGCTTCAAGAGATATCATACATTCAGTGGGAAATCAAATCGGTGTTGGAAAAGAATCAGGTATGATCGTGAAGTCGACGTTCTTTTTTGTTTGATTGGAAACTTTCATGTAGATGTTTACATTGTTGCGAATGAAAATGACGAACAGATGATTTTGAAATTGCACCGGTGAGCAAATGAAGGTTCGGTTTGTGAAAAATATCGATTGACTTTAGATTAGGTCGAACATGTTTTCGACAGCTGAAAAATAAACGTGATTATCTGAAACACCGACAAGGCTACAGTTGGTTGTACCTTGCAAGACTTGCTGCGATGAAAGAATTCGCTTTTATGAAAGTAAAGTTCTCTCGATAAACCAAACCTTCTCATAATTTTCTTTAGACTTTATACGAACATGAGTTCCCGGTTCCAAAACCGATCGATTTCAATCGACACTGTGTTGTTATGGAGTTAATCGATGGTTATCCACTGTTCGTATTCATTGTTTTTCTTTTCCTGTCGAATTTGACCTTTGCCTTCAAATTTGTAGATGTAGTATCAAAGATATCGATAAGCCGGGTAAAATCTATGATGATTTGATGTCAATAATCATCCGGCTGGCGTCTTATGGATTGATTCATTCCGATTTTAATGAATTTAATCTAATGATATCAGACGATGGTAAAATNTTCATTCGATTTATTTTTTCACTTCACTATCAGCCTTTTTCTTTCTCTGTATATATGTGAGAGTATTTTCAAAAGGACAAACACACGTACACAGGTTTTTCTTGTCTTTCTAGAAGAATTTCATTAATTGTCATCACATCATGGGAAAATTTGATGTTTCACTTATTCGATATTTGTCTTCCGAAGATTATCGAGTTCTAACAGCCGTAAGTTAGATTTCTCATTTATTAAATATTAATAGAAAGTCTGCTTTTACGACAGATCCTTTGTTTTCCTTACACGCAACTTCGGACACATTCCCTTGAGACATGATCACTTCCGCAAAACATTTTTCCTCGAAATTATTATTAACAGAAAGAATTTAATACAACGTAGAAGAATGAACACGCTTACGACGATTGAGAAATTGATAAAAAGACGTTCTCGGAATGTAATCTACCTTAACTAAGAGGATTGTCTGTATTGATAAAACTTGTCTCTCGAACATGTCATTTTGTCACTCAATCATACTCATAAAATATATATATATATATATAAAGCATTAATGACTATCTGCATCGAAAACTGAATAGAGAGAAACGATATTTGCATATAACTCTGTGAATTCTTTGTTGTTTCGAGATTGATCAAAGAAATCGACGAAGATCTTCCGTTTTTTCATGCTTCGTTTACTTCCGGATGTCATTTTATTCGACAAAGATTTTCGAAGAGTATCTGATTTAGATCGAAATGGGTATGCGCAATCATGAATTAGTTCCACTACAACTATTAGCTGTGATTGCATCGCTCAAACATGGTGGTTGTCATAAAGTTTTACGTGAATTAGTGCGTTATAAATTAGTTGCATATGACGCAACCGCTCGCCGAAAGTCATGCAATAATGAAGGTTACCGGTTAACAAATCTTGGCTATGATTATTTAGCATTGAAAGCACTTGCTTCGAGAGATATCATACATTCAGTGGGAAACCAAATCGGTGTTGGAAAAGAATCAGGTATGATCGTGAAATTGACGTTCGTTTTTGTTTGATTGGAAAATTTCATGTAGATGTTTACATTGTTGCGAATGAAAATGACGAACAAATGATTTTGAAATTACACCGGTGAGCAGATGAAGGTTCGATTTGTGAAAAATATCGATTGACTTTAGATTAGGTCGAACATGTTTTCGACAGCTGAAAAATAAACGTGATTATCTTAAACATCGGCAAGGCTACAGTTGGTTGTACCTTGCAAGACTTGCTGCGATGAAAGAATTCGCTTTTATGAAAGTAAAGTTCTCTTAATAAATAAAACCTTCTCATCATTTTCTTTAGACTTTATACGAACATGAGTTCCCGGTTCCAAAACCGATCGATTTCAATCGACACTGTGTTGTTATGGAGTTAATCGATGGTTATCCACTGTTTGTATTCATTGTTTTTCTTTTTCTGTCGAATTTGACCCTTGCCTTCAAATTTGTAGATGTAGTATCAAAGATATCGATAAGCCGGGCAAAATCTATGATGATTTGATGTCAATAATCATCCGTCTGGCATCTTATGGATTGATTCATTCCGATTTTAATGAATTTAATCTAATGATATCAGACGATGGTAAAATTACGATGATAGACTTTCCACAAATGGTGTCAATATCTCATTTAAATGCGGAATACTATTTTGATCGTGATGTTCAATGTATACGCGATTTCTTTCGCCGTCGATTTGAATTCGAAACAGACGTTTATCCAAAATTCGCTGATATCAAGTAAGAAATTCCGATATCATGTTCGATTTCGAATGTTTCTTGTCGATTAGGCGCATACATTCATTGGATAATGATGTAAGAGCAAGTGGATTCACAAAAGAATTGGAAAAACAGTTCGAAGAAGTAAGTTTCTATTTAAAATACGATGGTTGTCAGCGGTATGCTTTAGGTATCGGAAACAATCGGTCTACGACAAGATGCTCAACATTCTGATCATTCATTTGAAGAAGAGGAGGAAGAAGAAGAGAGTGAAATAGAAGAAGAAGAAGAAGAAGAAGAAGAGGAACAAGTAAAGTCGTCGTTATCTTCTCCTCCTCAACCCGAAACTGAACAAGTCACAAAATTGATAAAAATCATCGACACAAATCATCTCTTATCTGCTCCGACCGTTGAGGAATTGGCTGAAAATAAGAATTATCTTTTCAAACCATTTCATGATGAGAATAAACAAGAAGCCTCAGATGATGACAGTGACGATATGAAATCAACAGTTTCGACAACACAGAAATTATCAGCTTTATCTATAGACAAAGATTATGTTCGAGCGAAAGTGAAACAATCATTAAAAAAGAAACTCAAACAACAACATCGTCGTTTATGTACGAAAGGCGAAGCAGCGCTGGTTACTGCACAACGACGTGATCAAAAAGAAACAATTCAATTACATCTCGAATAAAAAGAAATCGTCTTGTTGTTGTTTTTTTTAATAAAAAAAATTTGTTACTACGTCACTCTTCAATAGATGCATCTAATCTTGAGGTTGAGATCATACCCTTCATCGTCGCTAGTGTACACTCATACAGAAAAAAAAACGAACAAAGGACATCTATTCTTGACTACTCTTATGATATCATTTGCACTACTTTTCTTTCAGTATAACGAGTACCTGTACGATATAAAAACAGCGAACGCGTAACAATCATAAACATCACCTCATCGACGAGCAATGGCCGGTGTATTTGTTTTGCTTATACTCATTGCTCTCATCTATGCTCTATGTTATTATATTTACAAAGTTTATATTTATTCTCCACCGGTTGAAAATGAACAATTACGGAATCGATGTGTAATTATCACGGGAGCATCGCGTGGAATTGGCGAGCAACTAGCCTATGAATATTCGCGTTATAATTGTCGTTTAGTCTTAGCTGCACGAAGCATTGACATCCTGAAAAATCAAGTCGCATCGAAATGTCGAAGTCTCGGCGCGACTCAAGTCGAATGTGTTGAATTCGATGCTTCGACGGAACAAGCTTGTAAAGATTTAATTGAAAAAACAATTGGATTCTATCAAAGAATCGATATTCTTGTTCTTAACCATACAGCATCGGTTTATCAACCATATTTCAATAGTGATATTCCAACAAATGTTCAAAACATGAAAAAGCTCTTCGACACAAATTTCTTCGGATATTTTCACACAGCCATGTCTGCACTTCCGCATTTAAATCAGAGTGGAACAAAACAACGACCAGCGCAAATCATCGCAATTTCATCATTGACAGGTGCTTGTCCGTTACCTCAAACGACTATCTATGGTAAATAGATGCAGATTGTCTATTTACAAGAGTTTCTTGGTATTAAATGTTTTTAGGTACAACAAAACACGCTATTCAAGGCTTCTTTTTAAATCTCGCTCGTGAACTTCGTACGTCGGAATTATACGAAAGTCGTGTCACATCAACCGTTGCTATTCTCGGTCTGATCGCCACTGAGAAAGCACTTGATACAACAGATCGAAGTCTTCATATGTTTGCAGCGAGTGTACAAAAAACAGCACAAGCGATTCTTGCGGCAGGAGTTTATGGGCAAAGTCGTTTGTTTTATCCACATGTTCTCGGACTGATTCCACCGCTTTATTATATATTTACTCCGTTATTTGATTTAGTCGCGCGTTTAGGTAATTGATTATCATAGTTTATTAAAAGAATAAAATTAAAAAAAGAAAAAGAAAGAGAGAGACACACACACACGCGCGGCGGTGTTTATCTAAGACGAGATTTGTCGTTGACAATGAAAATGTTTTTCGCTGAGCCTACAATCATATTCGGTCGATTATAATCTGTATCAGCACAATAAACAGCATTTTCGAGATCGGTTATTCCGCCAATCATCTACAAAATACAAAGTTCAATCTTTATTTTTCAGCCTCTGCGCGTCTGTATACCTGTAAAAGTGTGTAGTCGTAGATAATCGCTTCGTTTTTATCATTGCCCGCACACATTACATAATCTTTTGGACAAAATTTCGTTGCGTAAAGCTACAAACGAAGAGTTCACACTCATCTAAGAAATATATTCGTTACCATTGATGTTGCACTGTTTTGAAAAGCATCTTTGATCAATGCACCTGTTGGAAAATCCCAAAGCTACGAGACGAGAAAGTGTCAACACAACCGAAAAGTCAATATAATGTCCTTCTCTAACCTGTAACGTCGAAGTTTTTCTCCATGATCCTGTCAGCACAACTTGGTGATCAGCGACAATATCCAATGCATCACCACATAGATGTGGACCGGCGAAATGCTTTTGCGAATGTTGTACACGTTCATCCCAATAATGAACGGTATCATCCCAACCGCCTGTTAGAAAAAGCGTTTCCATTCCCGGATGAGCACGAATAGCATGAATACGATTTTTGTGTCCATCCATTTTTTCTCGGCTGTCTCTTGAATTTATCAATATACATTAAACGCGAAGACATTCCTTTTCTCCGACTTACGAAGCTCGTAATGTACTTATCAACTTTTTCGTTGTGAAATCATAACAATTTATTTTACAATCGCTGCCTAAATGATTTATTCGTGAAAAATGCATGTTTAATTTTGAAGGATTGTTTGTCTTCTTACCGGCGACATATAAACGAGTATGACTGGCATTGAAATCAAGTGCTAATGGCTGACGATCTTTTTCATCAAACGTGTAAACACATTGTTGGGTTGAGTAATGCCAAACTTTAACATAACCAGCCGTATCTAGAGAGAAAAAGGTCACATAGATTTTATTTCTCCTCTCGTTTGTTTCTCGTACAGGTCGCGGCGATTAGTTTTTGATGATCACTTTTCAAATCATCTTTATTTGCATAGAATCTCAAACATGTGACTGGATAACCTAAAAATAAATATTTCAACGAAAATCGTATCGAATTTCATCAATGGTTATTTACGTCGTGTTTTGGTGTCATTATCAGAAAGTGCATAGAGAAATTGGCCAGTTTTGGAGTAGATCTATATGAATATAATTGAAAACATTATTTTTTCTTAAACAGAAAGAAACTCGACTGGTTAATGGAAACTTTTATAGTTTTTAATCAATTGTTTTTGTTCCTATTAGAGAACTATTACACCTGTAAGCAACATTTAGTTGTAAAAACAGAATAACTTCGAAGAGAAAAAGAATGAACAGCTGTGTAACTTATCGACGGAATTACACAAATTTCCGGTAAAAATTCATGTGATTTCATCGGTTGTGTTTTGCTTGGCAAGGAAATGAAGAGAAAAGGGTGCTTCCGTTTGGAATGAAGTGCACTAATAAACTAAACACTTGAAGGGCATCTCCCGTATATTTTATTACATGAGAACATGTGTCTCTTAACATGAAGTTTCGAACTTACTTTAACTGTGCCGTTACCTAAGCCAACAGCAAATACATCTCCTGTTGGACTATACTTGCAGCAGAGGACATACTCTTCACAATCACTGAAATCAAATTATTAGTTTCCTTTTCTGTCACATTGATGATACTCACACAACATTTGCTAATTCAAAGTCACCTAATATCAAATGTTTTGGACGGGTATCGACAACCTTTGACATTCGACGTGTACGTGTAGCAGGAACTCCTGAACTGTCATTATTTGTCAACGAGATTGAAGGACGGCGTCCACCTAATAGACATGGCAAATAAGAATTAAAAGTGTTAATAATAAACTGAGATAAGAGACACACGCACCGATTGATTTCTCATCTTTAGTTATGGTAATCGAGGGGCGTCGTCCACCTACTGACGATAACGATTCGGTGCAGGCACGAGAAAAACTACGATATGTAACTTGAACCTACCAGGCGTTCTCTCATTAGTTAAAGAGATCGAGGGACGTCGTCCACCTAAGAAGGATTTTCAAATCGAAGAAAACAAACATTTACGAAACGCACCAGCTGCTTTATCACTATCAATAGCCGTGATTGACGGCCGTCGTCCGCCTAATCAAGGTCAAAATAGTCAACCATGAATGAATAGGTTTCGAAGGAAAAAGACGCACCAACTGCTCTTGACGGCGATGTCATTGTATTTCAATCTGATTGTCAAAAAAACTTCGTCGTCTCGTTTCGTTTTCTTCTATTGTTAAAAAAATGCAAGAGAGAATTGTAGCTAATCAGTCACACGATCATATTTTACTTTGTTATTTTCTGCTGTTAGACGAATAAATAAGATTGAATGACTGTGTCTGAGAAAGGTGTTGCAAAGGAAACTATGAGAAAGAGCAAGAAAAAAAAGAAAAGAAAGGCGAAGATCATCAAAACCGTATGACGACCGATGCAACAAGAAAAAAAAAAGAAATTTTGATACAAACAAAAACCAGACGAGAAGTGTAATGTGCACAAGTTGCTCTCTCTTCCCTTCTCACCATCGCTGTGAATTCTGTCTAATGGAGAAGCTAAGTTTTGTTTTAAATACATATTGTTGGAAGAAATTGTATTTATTCTTTTGTCATGAAAGACGTTTACTCTAGCAATTGTGAGATATAATTACGCCGTGCAAATTTATTTCAACAAAAAGCGACTTGAAGAAGAAAACCTTGAATATGTATTTCATTTATGTTTGCTTTACTTACTCACTAAGGATTCAACAAATTGTGTTCGATCATCGGTGGGAATAGAAGGACGAACGCCCATTTGAGGTTCAGGTTCGGAACCGGAGTCTTCGTAATCCTCGCCATCGAGATCACTCAGATCATTGTTGTGAGAGGTGAAATCGCCCAATACGTTGTTATATGTTGACATCTGAGTTTAATTTTCAACTTGAAGAATGACACAGCTGACTTCTTTCCTGTTGAAATACGTCATTTGTGTTCGTAGTCATGGTTCTATCAGCCAAAGAATATTTCTTGGAAATTGGACATGTCGCTGAATGGTCGAGAAAGAGAACAATCTTACATGGTTGCCATAGGATATTACACCTGTGCTGCCCTCAACGCCATGTTCTCTCATGAACAAATATATTCTCATGTCATAGTAACTAAACAGAAGAAATTCTTTTTTATTGTATCATGTAAATATGTTCGCAGACGTTTTTTTTTCATTCGAAGAATCAAATACTGCTGATAGTGATCTTTATGTTTGAAAAAGCATTTCACTCATCGCTTAATAGGAACAATTCAATAGGATCTTCTTAGAATGGTTATTTATTCACAATGATACAGAAAATTACAAAAAAGCAGGAGAGTAATATATTTTTAAGGACATAAAGTCAAATATATATGTGTGTGTATCACTCGTTTTTCGATTAAAGTGTCTTGAGTTTGAGTTTATCCTTGGATTGATTGACATAAATCTAAAAAGGGAAAACTCAACTATTATTTTCGTCTTCATTGTTGAAAACATACGCTGTTTAACGCATTGAGTAGTTGATCAACTTTCTCGGGGAATTGTTCAATAGGATTCCGATATTCGGAACGCATTCGTTCATCTTTTTGTACATGAACATCTTCATCATTCGTTTTCTTCAGTCCTAAGAAAGAAAATCGCGAATGACAATGAAATGTAAATATTTCCATCTGACCTGTCCATTGAATAAATGTTTGTAATGCATAAGAATACAAATGTCGATTTGTGTCTTTGATATTTTCTCTCGCTAATCGAAAATTATCTCCAATAATTGAGAAAAACATACTCATACAAATGAAAACAACAAAGATAAT